AACATGTAAATCAGCTTTTTGTTTTCAAAGTGGACAAAGGAGAACATAATTTATGAGTAACTTGATCCCAGGACGTTCTCTCTTGTGTTATTAATGTGTCTATTCACATACACTCCAAGTTCAGCAATAACCCACATCTTGGTAATTTCATTTCCTTTTTGGATGGGATAGTATGTGGTGGAAATTCCTAAAGGGGCTGCCACTTTAATTTCTTAAGGATGCTAGAAGCAGCTAAAGATACTTCAGCTGACACACAGATCACCATACACAACAAATTTCTACTACTTCAGAATAAAGAGTATGCTGAGTGTATATGCGTAAAAGTTAATTTTAATCTAATGCCTAGGAGGGCTTAGCTAGTAGTTAGCTAATCAACAATCTACACTTTAGAGGTGGCTGAAGCCTGATTTTGAGGAATTGTTACATGCATTGTTCAGTATGCCATAGAAATTAACAAGCAAATTTTCCTCAATGAACTAAATGGTTTTCAAAAAATGCAATTGAATAGGAAAGTTTACAGGTTCCACTGCCCTTGCACAGACAAGATGCAAAAATATGGTCAACCCAGTCACCTAACATGTATGAAGCATGCTCTGAATCTGGGCTCTCCACCCAGCAAAAACTAAGGACAGGCTGCCCCCGATCCAGGGAGACTGACCCCAACATGGGCACCACTGGGCTCACGTTGCATGGAGGACACACGGACAGGCATCCACAGAGACCACCAACCCAGCTTCTTCTATTTGCCTTGGGGTCTGCCTGTTAATAAACATATGTGCAGCAGAACTGAGTCCTAGCCTTCTTCAGTTATAACAGCTCACCTGGTGCCAGGTGGCGCATCTCTAACCACCAACAACTAGCAGTGTTCCCAGAAGAATCTGAAAGCTGTTTGCTAAATCTTCCTTTATACCATGCAATCCACTGTCCTGCTCTAAATGACCAGACCAAACGTAGGGGTCTGAATCTGGCAGACGTCTTCCAGAGGGCCTGGAGCCAAATTATCCCAAGGGACCTCCACCGAGGTCTTTTCTTGGGGAATATAAATACAAGGCATAGAAGACAGTGAGCCGAAAGAGACATAGCACCAGGAGAGAGAAGTTGGTGGAAAGCCCGAGACAGTGGACAGAGATGGGCAGAGGTGGTGGTTGGCAGGAGTGGTGGGGCAAGGAGGAGTCGACGGAGGAAGCAACATGGCCCTCCGAGCTGCGGGAAACCAGGGCCACCGCCAGACAGCCAGGGCCCTGTGGGGTCATGAGGTGCATCTCAGGCCATGGGGTGGGCGGAGAACACAGCAGAATGACCTCCAGACAGTGTGGTCCTGGTAGACCTGTTATCCCCACAGCCTGACGGTTGGTCCATAGGTCAAACCATTAAGCATTTTGTCAGGATGTTTTTAAAACCTACAAATGCTCACATGCACACGAAAGGAAAATGATAGTCTGCTCTCAGCCTGCTGAGATTATGTTAGCCGACCTCCCTTAGGAAATACACATTCTTCCCAAGAGGCTGTTCCTGTTTTCAGGCCTAATTAGAACTCTCCCCAGGATCCTCAGATCTGTGCTTCATCTGTATGAAGTAAGAATCAAGTAAGGGAGAGACTTAAATTCCAACACTTAGAAGAGAGGAATGACTGGGGAGCCTGACTCTGTGCAACGTGCATGGGCTGCCTTGATCTAAAAGGCTTTTCAGGTGATAAAAAAAAAATGGTACACCCCAAACAGCCAGCCTCCTTCAGAATTTTTCGGGATGAAAGACAGTGTGTGATATAGGAGAGGCATAAATAAAACATTTGAATGTAGATAAAGACATGCTGGTGTTCTTGTATGAATCATTCTTTATTCAGGAAAAATATTCTTTCCTAAACCTGCATGTAATTCACCCTTCTTTCTTGCTCTAATGAAAATCTCTCCTAAACTCTATATTTGATCAAGATTTCAAAGTGATTGTCAGTGTTTCCTGTGTCTTAACCACTCATTAAATGTACACCCGTTACAATAAGCAAGGTTAGAAAGGTTTAAATGTGAAGTTTTGATCATTAACATGAGGACAACATTGAGTGGAAGGTTTTCAGAATAAATGTTTTCTCTTACTAATAGCATTAGGTAATGATATATGCATGAAAGGTGCCTGCCAAGGACAAAGCCAACACACAGGAAATCAAAAGCAAACGACAGGACCAGAGACAGATTCTTTACTTGGTCAACCACTCCCTACAGGAAGCCAATAAATAAGAGCCAATAAACTTAGAGTGAGCTGCAGTAATTTTTATTTATTCAACATTTGTCCTGTCATGGTATGAGGTCCATTTCTGCCAATATAAAACATACAATTGGGAAGCATTCCATTACATTGATTACATCTTGGAGTAGTATATAATCCACAATAATTTTCTTTGAAATTTTCAAATTATTTTCATAAGACTATATAAACGTGGTGACTTTGAAAAAATTTCTTCTATTGGTTATAGGTATATGGGCAAGTAATTAATTTTTCAAGGTGGAACACTTTAAACATTAAAAAGAGTGTTCCCCGGATGGATGCCAAGAAAACAGACATGAAACAAGATATTCCCAGGCAAATGAGGCCATGGTGGGGGTCTCAGGAAGGGAAGGGTTCGCCGGGCTCTGTGACTCACTCCTCCTCTGGAGGAACCAAAGAAGAAAGAAAGAAGAGAGAAGGAAGGTAAGGGGAGGGGAGGAGAGGGGAGGGGAGGGGAAGGCAAAGAAAAGAAAAACGAGAAAGAGACCCAGTCAAATTTTGGAAATATGCTCATCAGATAGACCTCCTCGGGATAGTCACTAGTGGAAAGGTACCGGATGGCCCGCATCCACAGAATACTTTTAGCAGGTTGCACCTGGCCTGCTTAGGTTGCATGTGATAAACATAGGATTTATAGGTTTATAACACATGGAGCCCTGAAAAATATCAATGTCAAATACATAATTATTAGAATATAATACAGAAATACTTCATGACTGAAGTGGCCCCCTTAGGGAGAGCAACGCCTTTTGCGTGCCCAACTGGGAGCCTCAGACGATAAATTCTCTGCAAGCAAGGACCTGAGAAGTGAGCTGCTGATCTTAGATTTCCCCCTGATTCCCCAGGATCTCATGAATACCTGTGCCTTTTGGGTCACAGTAAAGCTTAATAGTGAGAAAAATTTCTAATTCTTGAGAGTCCAATATTCTGACCATATTTCCTAATTTGTTATATAGGATTGTGCAGAATGTATATTTATAATTTTCTTAATCTCTTCTCTCCTTTGGCTATCTAGAATCCTCAATCTTAACATCATGTATGTGTGTCTTTTCTCTGTGTCTGGATTGCCCATGCCTTTAGAATTTTGCCTACACCTGTTCCGAACAATGCCACAGACATAACACCACTTTTACCCATTAATACTTTGGTGTGCATTTCTTAAAAACAAGTATATGCTATCATCTAACCAACGTGCAATGATTAAAGTCAGGAACTAACCTTGAGACAGTACTGACCCCTGACTACAGAACCTTTTTAAATTTTGCCAAGTGTCCCACTACCGCTCTTTATAGAGAAACAAACCAGCCAAGTCCTGGTTCCAGCTCCCGTCCACAACCACATGCTACCCGTGGTCACCCCATCCCCTGCCCTCCTCAATCAGGAACATCTCCTTGGTCTTTGTCCTTCATGACCTTGATTTTCTTAAAGGCTGTGTGGCCTGTACAAGTTTTCAAAAGACATTTTTAAACAAGATGCTTGACTTGAGGGAGAATTTACCTCTTACCAGTTTTGTCAGAATAATTTAATCCTATTGAAAGACAGAAAATGCCTTTCAATTGACAGGGCTATAATAAAAAAATGCCAAAAAGCAAAATCCAATCAATGAATGTATGTAAGGTTTTTATTTGCATTTGTTTATTGTTAAACATTGAGATCAAAATAACTCACTGACAAATGAACATAAAAAACTTGAATAAACATGTCACTACTGAAGAAAAAGGTATATTTTCTGAGAACCAAATTTTCTCACCTTACTCAGGTGATGTTGATCGAAACACGAATTTTAGGATTATTTGTTCTCGTTCTGTGAGAAATGCCATTGGTATTTTGACAGGGATTGCACTGAATCTGTAGATTACTTTGGGTAAGAGGGATATTTTGGTAATATTAATTCTTTCAATCCATGAACACTATATATCTATCCATTTATTTGTGTCATCTTCAATTTCTTTCATCAGTGTCTTACAGTTAAAGGTCTTTTACCTGCTTGGTTAAATTTATTCCTCAGTATTTTATTGTATTTGATGCAATTGTAAATGGGGTTGTTTTTTAATTTCTCTTTCTGCTACAACTTAACACACACACACACACACACACACACAAATAAATAAATAATCCAATTTAAAAAATGGTCAGAAGACCTGAAGAGACATTTTTCCAAAGAAGACATACAGATGGCCAACAGGCACATGAAAAGATGCTCAACATGAGTAATCATTAGGGAAATCAAATCAAAACCACGATGTCATATCACTTCACACCAGTCAGGATGGCTAATATTAGTGATGTAGGAAATAACAAGAGCTGTTAAGGGTGTGGAGAAAAGGGAGCCCTCATACACTGCTGGTGGGAATATACACTTACATAGTCACTATGGAGAACAGTACAGAGAGTTCTCAAAAAAATTTAAAATAGACATGCCATATGACCCAGTAATTCTACTTCTGAGTATTTATTCACAGAAAACAAAATTACTACTTTTCAAAAAGATATAGCCACTCCTATGTTTCTAACAACATTATTTGCAATAGTCAAGATATGGAAGCAACCTAAGTGTCCACTGATGGATAATGGATAAAGAAGATGTGGTATATATATATACATCATACACACACACACACAATATGGAATATTACTCAGCCATAGAAAAGAATGAAATCCTTCATTTATGGCAACATGGATGGACCTAGAGAGTACTATGCTCAGTGAAATAAGTTAGACAAAGACATATAATACCATATGATTTCATGTATGTATAGAATCTAAAGAGCAAAACAAATGAACAAATAAATGAAACAGAAATAGACACATAAACAGAACAGTCTGGCGGTTGCCATGGGGGATGCGGATGGGGAGCTGGGCAAAATAGATGAAGGGGATAAAGAGGGACAAACTTCTAGTTATGAAATATATAACTTATGGTGAAAGCAGGGCAGGGGGAGTATAGTCAATAATATTGTAAGTAATAACTTTGGAAGTAGTAACTTTGTGTGGTGGTAGATGGTAACTATACCTATCATGGTGACCAGTTTTGCAATGTATATAAATGTCAATCATGTTTTTTGCACGTATCATTTTGTAATGTACATAAATGTCAAATAACTATGTTGTACACCTGGAACAAATAATATATTGTATATCAACTCCACTTCAATAAAAGAACATTGTAAGCTGTTTGGACACCATACAACAACAAGGCCAGCTGCGCAGGGGAATTCACAGACCTCTGAATCAGGGGCAGAAGAGAGGATGGAGCCCTGGGTCTTTCCTTTGTGAGTGGTCCTCCTCGTGAGGTAACAGCCCATCTACTTTACAATTATTGAAGACTGCTCACTGACACCAGCCATCGGTTGTCTATTAGTTCTCACTTGGGCTGCTTGCTTTACAGCCTGTCGGGTGCCAGGTTCGCTCTGAGTCCTTTTTTTGCACCGGAGTGGACAGTTCTGAAAGAGAAGAGGACAGAGAGCAAGGGAGGAAGAGGGGGAGAGAGGCATGGCGGCTTCTCGGCCTTCCTTTCGCCAGACCGAGGGGTCTACAGGGATAGTTGGTCAGTGTTCTTATCTCTCCTGCTCTGTTTTCTGCCCCCCGTCCAAGTACCAATGGTTTGGGCTCCCTGAAGTGGCCCAGAGACTGATGGAGACGCACTTTCCAACAGCCCCCAGCCAGCCTGTTGGGGGACCATCCGGTAGCTGTTTCCAAGGGACAGGGCTGCAGCCTCCCTGCAGTGGAGACCGTGCGCTGGGCGTCCAGCCCCAGGGGAGGCCCCGCTCCAGCTGAAGCACAGGCAGAGAGCAGACCCACCTCTGGACATGCCGGCTTCCCCCAGGATGCTGCCAATAGTCTGCATTTTCTTCCTTCGTCTGAAGAAGGGCACTCAAATTTTTATCCCACCCCCTTAATGAGTGTAGTTTTTAAATTCTATTTTATTCTCAAAAGAAAGGGAAACAAAACTATCAGTTACATGGTTCATAAATAAATCCCTGGAAAGGAGTTTGATGAAGAATCTCTCAATTGAAATTCTTTTGAGAAACACATGTTGTCAGTTCAGCCAGGTGACATTTCAAACCCAGAACAAGTTCCAGCACACATGGATGCAATTTCCTTTCATTGAGGAGGGAGCTGGCTTGTTGAATTGACATCTCGTAGGTGAGCACCAGTGGCTGCCACTAGTAGGCGCTGTGTCATCAGGTCCCAAGGCCGCCCCTGGGGCCTGTACGAACGACTAAGTGACCCTTTGGTTAAAGCGGTTGGGGCGGCTGGGGACGATGCCCACAGACCTGTGGCTACCTATCCTTTTTTTTGCACCTTTTTTGGTTAAGGACCATTGGCACCAGCACCCAAATCTGAAGAAATGTCTATGCAACTTTCTGAATTAAACATGAACCCAGGGAGCCACCTGCTAATAGAATCCGTAGAGGGTCAAAGGGAAGGCCCCGGAGACCGCGCTGTCCCGGCTCTAACAGCGGCGGTCACAGTCGGGCTAGACTCAGGCGGCCAACTGCTTGCCTCATTCTACCAAATAATGAAACTCTTCTGTGATTTTCCCACACTATTCACGATAGAATAGTGTCTGTCTACATACTCTCCTAGAGGTCCTTCATATACATAATTTTCAAAGTTTATGACAAACTAAAAATTCCAACAAATGCCATTACTAAAAAGCCATTTCCAAGCTATATGAAAGCACTCATACAACTCAACACCAAAAAACATCTGATTTAAAAAATGGGAAGAGGACTTGAACAGAAATTTCTCCAAAGAAGATACACAGAGGGCCAACAGGCACATGAAAAGATGCTCCACATCATTAATCATCAGGGAAATGCAAATCAAAACCGCAGTGAGATGTCACCTTCACACCAGTCAGAATGGCCAACACCCAAACAACAAGAAATAACAAGTGTTGGCAAGGATGTGGAGAAAAGGGAGCCCTCCTACACCGTTGGTGGGAATGTCAGTTGGTGGAGCCATTGGGGGCAACAGTATGAAGGTTCCTCAAAAAACTAAAAATAGAAATACCATATTTTTAGTTTTCTGGGGATTTAACCAAAGAAAACAAAATCACTAATTCTAAGAGATTTATGCACACCTATGTTTATGGCAGCATTATTTTCAATAGACAAAATGTGGAAGCAATCTGTGTGTCTATCAATAAGTGAATGGATAAAGGAGATGTGGTGTATACATACAAATATACAGTGGAATATTATCCAACCATAAAAAGAAATGAAATCTTGCCATTTGTGACAGCATGAATGGACTTAGAGGGTATGAGGCTAAGTGGAAAAAGTCAGAAAAAGACAGTTGCCATGACTTCACTTATATTTGGAATCTAAACAGCAAAACAAGTGAACAAACAAAACTGAAATAGACACAGAGAACAGAATGGTGTTTGCATGGGGAAGGAGATGGGGGAAGGGTGAAACAGGTGAAGGGGAAAGAAAATCAATGAGAATGTGTGATATCTTGATCCACTATAGTTACATGAGTGTACACATGCCTAAATTCATCAAGCTGTACACTAAGATTTGTGTGTTTTATTGTAAATATTTCAGTATTAAAATTTTTAAATTGAAAAAATAAGTCATTTCTCTGGGTACTTTTTTCCTTTCACTAGAGAGTAATCTCAGAATATACATTTGTAAGCAATTTCTAATAAGTATCCATATGGCATAACAAAGTATTGTGAAATAGGATATTTCTAAAAATCATAAATACAAAAAAGTGTGAATGCCAAAGATTTCAGCCAGCAACCACTTTTTTCCACAGATTTTTCTGGACAAAAACTCCTGCAGTTAAAATAATCAGAATCATATGTACCTCCAAATTTTGTAAATATTTTCAATTCCCTGGATTTCTTCTCTTCCAGCATTTCCAAACCAATTCTTCATGAGAACACAAGGAAATGCTAATGTGGGAGGTGAGTACATGTTCTCAGTTTACATTTTGTAATCCGGGTCTGATATATTTCAATGGCATGTTGAAATGACTCATTTCAGCATTTATACATGAGAAGGGATCAGAACCAACTGCTGAAGCTCTCAGGAAACTCACGCCTATCAAATAATTATTGTGCTGAGAGCATCCGCACAGCTGAGAACAATTTACTGAACCAAAAATCTAGACACATTTTACTGAAAGTTATCATTAATTCCTATTATAGTAGATACATTTTTAAAGCTTCTTTTTATAATTCGACTCATCATTTTAGGAGTATACAAAGCAAATAACACAGAACCATAGCAGGCTTCTTGAGTAAGCAGGGGGCTCCCCGCTGCCATGTTGACGTAGATGGAATTTCTCTGGCCCAGTCTTGGTGGGGCAGCAAGTATGGCCGGGGCCTGGCGTGGAAGGCCTCTGCATCAGTGTCCTGGGGCCACCACGACGGAGGACCACAACCTAGGTGACTTAGAACAACAGATGCCTATTCGTGCCTAGCTCAGGAGGCTCGAGTCCTAAATCAGGATGTCTGCAGGGCGAGCTTTCTGCGGACTCTGCAGAGGAGCACCTGCCTCTACTTCTCCCAGCTTCCGGCAGTTGCCGGCGATCTTTGGCATTTCTCAGTGGGACAGAGCGTGTGTCCAATGGGCCGTGTGTGCCCCGTGTGCGTTCTGGGTCTTCACATGGTGTCTCCTCTCTGTCAATCAGCATCCCAATTTCTCTCCTCTCGCAAGGACACCAGCCACTGGATTAGGCCCACCCCAATCCATACGATTTCACTTCAACTTGACTACTTACATCTATAAAGACCCTATTTCAAATAAATTCACATTCTGAGGTGAATTTTGGGGGACACCTTTCAACCCAGGAGAAGCTTCAATTCCAACCGAAGGCCCTTGGATTGTTTTACACCACGTAGTTGCCCCCAGGAGTGGGGGTCAAGAGAGGGATGACGGCGTGCGGACCTCCTCTGGGGACGAATCAGAACTGCGCTCCCCGGAATCACAGCCGTCTGGGCGTCACTACATGACACGAGTGGCCGTGACTTCTTGGGCGACCTACATCTCTTCGCCAACATGTTGTGCAATAAATATTTTTGGCCTGGATACAGGCTTGAAAGAAGGAGTAAAAGGAATCCAGGAACAGCAAGCAGGTACTAAATGTGCCCAATGGGTCCCACCTGTTCCCACATCATCTCCCTAGGCCTCATTAGACCCACTCCAAGGTGGGGAAACTGACAGGCAGGGAAGTCCAGAGACCTGCCAAGATCACACACAATAAACAGCTCAAATGTTTTGCTTCCTTGATGGAACCTGAGCACATGTCCAACGGCCCTTCACAGGGATGGATAGGAGACAGCAAGGACCCTGTCCTGCGGGAGGGGTCAGTGTCACCAAGACCCCAGGAATTTGGCCTCCCTTAGTGTACTTTGAGGAAGGTTATTTGAGACTGGATTTCCTTCCCAATTATTTTTGGTTGCTAGACTGCGCCTTTCTAAATGCAAGTGGGCCACATGGCCACCGGAATTTAGGAGTGATGAATATAAAATGTACATTAAAAGTATGCAAGAAAACACTGTTTCATGGAAACAGATTACTTTTTTCTTCCTTATGCTTTTCTGAATCTTTTAATAAACATCTTTGCTTCTATAATATAAATAAAGAAGCATTAAAATTAGAAAGAGTAATTTTGACTTTGGTGTTTTAGGTCAGGACCTGAATAAGTATTTCAGCATCTACTGGCTAAGTGGGGCTATGTGACTTCATGATCATCTTTGCCAATATCTATAAATACACATAAAAATAATACTTACCCCCCCCCAGAGTTATGTAGACTCAAATAAGATCTTGAAAACCCAAGTGCCTAGCATAGCACAAAAGAAGAATATGTGGTGACATACATGCAGCTGCCATTTAATCCCGTCCCTGCGGGAAACAAGCCCAGTCCCAGCAAGGCGGCCACAGCTCATTTGGGCCCCCGGGGACAGCACCATTCCGGGGCATTGCCCTGGTCTCCTCACAGAGTATTAACCTTCATTAAAAGAAAATAAAATGGAGATCAGGTTTGAAAATCCCCCAAACTAAGTCAGGTCAACAAACTAAACTAACTTAAGCATAAACATAAGCAAAACTTAGTTTATTTCTTATAAGTGCTTCTGATAACCATAAACATAACTTAATTCACCTCCTAAAATGGCATGAGAGAATCACTTCTAACCAATGTCCAGTTGTCTGGAAACTGTCACCGAAAAGCCAACCACTATAAAGGGTCAGTGCCCTCATTTTCACTGGCTGGGCCATCGCTAACAGTGTACCCCTTAGCTCTATGTCACTTTTAGGTTTTAAAGCTCCCACGGTACTTATGTGAACAATAAACTCTTACTAAATACTATTTTACTGGTCTGGTGGCTTTAATTTTCACTGTTTCTGGATTTTTGACACTTTAAGAGAAGATGCTTAGATACAAAAAAAATGTAGGAGTTCCACATATAAGTGAAATCATTGGCAGTCACCATGGGGAGGGGCTGGGATGGGGTGAAATAGGTGGAGGGGATAAACAGGCATAGAATCTCAAGTATACTGTAAATTAGTCACAGGGATGGAAGTGCAGCATGCAGGATACAGCCTGTGGTCCTGCGACCTTTCTGTGTTGACAGTCACCACTAGGTGGGGTGAGTGTTTGATAGCGCGGGTAACCGTCAAATAGCAATGCTGTATACCTGAAACCAATTTAATATTGTATATCAACTATACTGCAATAAAAAAAATAAAAAAATGTAGGGGAAGACATGAAAAGGGGGAAATTAATTTTGAGCCAGATCTTCTACCTCCAGATAGAGTCCTGAAACACACAAAAATTGTTTTAGAGTTTAAGCTCCAATTCTCTTGGAAAACAGCAAAAGGCTCCTTCACACTACATTGTCATAAGCAGAGTTCTTAGTGTGGATTGTTGGTTTTTAAACAGCCTGTGATTAAACACCCATGCTCCGCTGTTTGCTGAAGCTTACAGCCTTACTCAGAGTGGTGGGCAGAGCGATACAGAGGTGTCCACTGAAAGATAAAGCTTTGCAAATACACCAGACAAGGTCTGTATGTTTTTGATTCTTTAGCAAGTACCCATAACCTGATGGAAATCACACTTAAAATTTTTGAATAAATCAATTTCCAAAATAGTACAGAGTAATCTAAGGATTTTAAATTTTGGCAAAGACCCCTTTTGCTTACATCAGTACAGAAAAGCATGAGCTGCTGTGTCATACACTACTCACTCTCAGACTTGCAAAGGCAATAAAAAGCTTTTCATTTCTAACTGCACCATATTCTCTCTAATGAAAAGGAAAATCAGATTCTAGACTGCCAAGTAACAATAGAGTAACACACCTGTTTTCCACTTCCTTTTTAATGGTAGTTTTTACCTATATCAAGCATTTTGTAAAATCTGGATGCTAATAAACACATAAAGTATTCTGCCCATATATTTTTGAGCCACTGGGGACAGTAGCAGATCATTCAAAACCATAAACATTTAAAATAACGAGTACTTATCCAGGCTTTACTGCCTATCGATTAGATAGAAAAACTGATTATCCAGTGTAAGTCCATTTGCTCATCTATAAATTTGAAATAACAATCCCTCGCTTGCAGGATGACCATTAAGGATTACAAACAGTAGCGAATATGTGAGTGGCTCCTGCATCTTACGGGGGTGCATGCACACAGAACATGTCCTTACAAATGTTAGTTCAGGAAAGAAGTAACAATATAATTGGTGTTTATAACATAATACTATATCAGTAACAAAATAATACGTTTGTTTTGGGACTTTCATCCCAAGTTCCTTCCTACACGCTACCTTCAGCTGAAGAGCCTCAAATGATATGTCTTCTCTAACCTTCTATTTTTCCCTTTTTCTTTCTCTTCTGCATCTGTTTTTAAGAGAAGATAAAACCCTTAAATATCTTTAAGATACTGCTGGGATGATTAGCAGCCTCCTCTGACCAAATTTGTTGACTGTTGAAACAGCTTAGGGAGAAAAAATTGAGTTTTGGAATAAAAATCATAAAACTGACTGCCTTTCCAAAACTTTGACAGCATGCCCACAGCCATTATGGTCGGTGGAGAGCCAGCTCACACCTTCCCTATGGAAGAGGCCACATGCCTCAAGAGACGCGCCGTTAGGTTCTTCCATAAACAGGTGTTGGTTTCTCCACTTGCAAACGTAAACAACCCAACTTCTCCCAAACCTATCATTTCATTATTGGTCTTTTTCACAAGCCTCCAAATACCGTTCGGGGTAAGTTTAGAGATGAAAATCTGCTCTTGCTCGAATCACTTGATCACCTTTTCTTTAAAGGACCGTCAGAACAGAGAAAAGCCACTTCTGCCCCACACACAGGTGGGCAGAAGTAACCTGCCGAGGGGCCCAGGTCCTTGGGACATTGCACACCTGCAGCAGCTGAACAGGGAGCCACACGAGATGGGTGTCATAACAACAGCCACATTTCAGGTCACTGGCGGCCAGCCTCTGGTTTCCACACTGTCCTGGACTCTCGGGGACAGAAGCATAATTTACACATTCCAGGCTCAAGCTGGGTCAGAGATGTACTTCAGAGAGTCAGAGCATCACATGCAACCAGGTGACGGCAAGGACTTTCAGAACACCTGAAGTCTCGTGGGCCCACATATACCTATTACATACTGTCTGCACCTCTCACTCGTGTATTTGAATGCATAGTGAGGGTTGCTTTAAATTTATGTGGACCATACAATTGAGTAAAGTGGCAGCTGCACCTTGTTAACAGAAAAAAATCAAAGTACTTTGATTCCAGGGATAAACTCTTGCTCTTGGGAATAAATACGTTTTCCCAGTACTTCAGTTCCTTAGTTCATAAAATGGGTGACCAGATACCAGCACTTTGTAGAGTGTTGTGAGACAGAAAAAAAAAAGTTACATTTTCAAATTTCATGCACATACAAATCACCTGAGAATCTTGTGAAAATGCAGATTCGGCTTCATCCGGTCCAGGGTGAGAATACAGACTCTGTGTCGCTCACTGGCTCCCAGGAGGTGCTGACTGTTCACCTGGGACCACACTGGTGAGCAGCAAGGTGACAGAGCAGGAAGGCCGCTCCTGGGTGGGTGGACGGCTCTGTAAGGCTTGCTAGGGTGACCTAAGCAGGTAAGTCAGGAGAAAAGGATGGAGATGCTGTAGCCGAGATATGAAAGAAACCGAAGCGTCCATCAGCAGGTGAGTGGATAAAGAAGATGTGGTACATACACACAATGGAATATTACGCAGCCATAAGAAGAAAATGAATCCTACCATTTGCAACAACATGGATGGAGTTAGAAGGTGTTACGCTCAGTGAAATAAGCCAGGCGGAGAAAGACAAATACTAAATGATTTCACTCATCTGAGGAGTATAACAACCAAGGAAAACCAAAGGAACAAAACTCAAAGAAGCAGACTCACCGACTTCAAGAAGGGACCAGCGGTTACCAAAGGAGAGGGGTGTGTAGGGGTGTGTAGGGGGGAAGAGAGGGAAGGAGAAGGGGATAGAGGGGCACCTGATGGGCAACCACAATATAGATAGGTCACAGGAAGGCAGTACAGCAGGCAGAAGAGAAGTAGTGACGCCGGCCTCTCACTGCACTGGTGGACAGTGACTGCAGTGGGTGGGGGGACTCGATAATATGGGTGAATGTTGAAAACACAAGGTTGTTCATGTGAAACCTTCATGAGATTGTACATCAGTGATACTCAAATTAAAGAGGATGGAAACATTTAAAAACATTTTAAAGCGAAATACAACACAAGTGCCCCGATGATTATCAGAGCCAAACCACCTGAGATTCTGTCAGAAAGGAGAGGGCAGTGGGGAGGCCACGTCCAGCTTTCCGTCCACTCCCCCTGCTTCCTGGGGCCCAGCCTCCCGCCCTTCCTTCTGGCTTACATTCAGTTCCTGAGGATTGTGAGGCATCGCAGGGACCAGGCCTGGGGATGTGGACGTCACCACCCTGCTGGGGAGAGCCCAGTCACGTGGGTCCCCAGCTGCAGGGACTCTGGCCTCACTGAATGACCAGGAGGGAAGAAATAGCATTATCTCTGCCATGTCACCTAATCCGTTTAAACTGTCGCTGGGTGGGTCTGAATGGTGACGATTCACTGAGCTTGAAGAGCCGGAAGTGTAGCAGAAGGTGAGGCCCGGCGGGGCTCCGAGGTCTCAGGGCAGTGCCTCCTGCCGGGGAGGTGGGTGTCTGCAGACCCGCTAGCTCTGCAGAGCCAGTGCGTACCAGCAGTGCAGCGCCCCAGAAAGTCAAGGGGAGGTGCGGCTGGGGAAAAGCCCTGTGCTTATGGAACGACCCTCCCAGTAGTTAGAGGTGGAGTACAATCCTCCAAGTTAGACACACTGGGAATCAGGAAACACTGGCCAGGAAGAGGGGAGCCGGGACCCAAAGCTCTGGTCCTCTCTGGGGCACACTAACAACTGACACCACTTGGGTCCTCCCAATGTGGAGGCAATTCATCCACAAGTCTAACTAGACTGCCCAGGGGCTGAGGGTGTGTATGTGTGTTTATGCACATCTGTGTGTGTGTGGTCTAAGTGTGTGTGTGCGCCATGTTTCTATGTGTGTGTGGTGGTGTGTGGAGGGTGTGTGTGTGTGTGTGTGTGTCCAGGAAAGATGGAAGAGGCTGGTCACAGTTAATGTGTATGTCACACTCAGGGTATAGCCACACCACCAAGGTTTCTACCCAGTTATTTTTCAAATTCTGAACATGGAAAATCTAACCACATGGAAACACTGGCTAACAACACAAAAATGTTTTTTTCATAGTTTATTGAAAGTATGTGCTACTAAGGCCGACTTAGGGCACATGATCTCCAGTTTAAATTTGAATGGAAATGACTGACCATGGTGCCAGCAGAGCTCACACTGTGCTGCATCAGAGGTAAGTGGTCTTCATTTCTTACTTATGTTGTGAATTTTCAATTTGTGTAGTTGCATGTGTGAAATAAAAGCCCTGATATTCAGAAAGAATCACATGGGCAGGCTAACAATGACTTTATTTTCTTGGGTTTGAAAGAACTAAGCCAATGGCAGGGAAGACAAATTCCCCCTTTGGAAATTTAATTTACACCCAGAGGAAAATCCATTGCCTTTTGAAAAATCTCAGGTAACATCCAAAACATTAGCAAATGGTTTAATCACAAACAGACACCATGTGGAAATATAAGGACAGGCCAGGCTTGGCAGCAGCCATCCTCCATATGCTCCTTTGTCCCCCAAGAACCGGCCTGGGGGACCCTCCTCACGCTCCCCAGAACCTGGGAGGAAATGCAGGATACCTTAAGGCTTCATCACTTCACACTTGCAAATCTTTATTTGACAAAGATTCAGGGATCACCCTTTTTAAACCTAAATGTCTTGTCACAACAAATACAGGCTTAGAAAAATGTGATGGGCCAAGAGAGGCAGCGATGACAAAGTAAAGGAGAGAGTCAGTTTCCCCGAGAGGCCAGCATGCCACCTGGCCCATCAGCTTCCAGGAGAAAGCGGGGAGGGAGGGACGGTGAGCCAGGAATCACACACACAGCCATCATCGTGGGCACGCTTACAAAACACCTTAGACTCAAGTCTGAGTAGCTGGGGGCTGGCAGGCCTGGAGGGGACTTTATGCCTTCACCTGGCTCTTTTGTTATTATAGTTTGAAGCTATTCCAGTTGAAAACTGGCCACAGCTTCCAGTCTCAAGTTAGGAAAACTCCTTTCCATGAGCGGAAGGTTCTCTTGGGGTGTCTGGTTCTGGCTCCCATCAGGGCCCCGCTGAGCGGCAGGTGCTGCAGGCAGGGGCTGGGCAGGTGAGAGGGCAGTGCACTGGCCTCCATGCCCCTCCTGCCCATGGCATGGGACCCACCCCTGGGGCCATAGCCGTGGGCGCCTGCAGAGAGGCCTGTCATCAGCCTGCCACCACTGCCCAGGGCACAGCCGTTGAGGGAACAGCCTCATGGATGACACACTTGTGCCAGGAAGCTGCCCTGCAGGGTGAGACGCATCTGATGCCAGCATGTCTGTGCCTACGTGTTCCCAAAGAGAACACACAAATGGGCAACAGTACCATGTATGGAAAGGAACTCAGCATCACTAATGATCAGGGAAACGCAAATCAAACTCACACTGAGAGATCTCCCCACCCCAGTCAGAATGGCCACAATCCAAAAGACAAGAAACAACAAGTGCTGGCGATGGATGTGGAGAGAAGGGAGCCCTCCTACCCTGTTGGTGGGAATGTCAATCGGTGCAGCCACTGTGGAAAGCAGTGTGGAGGTGCCTCAAAAAAATAAAAATAGAAATACCATATAATCCAGCATTCCACTTCTGTGTATATACGGAAAGAAAATGACATCCCTGTCTCGAAGAGATATACATACTCCCGTGTTCACAGCACAATTATTTACAACAGCCAAGACGTGGGAACAACTAAGTGCCCTTCAATGGATAAATGGAGAAGAAAACGTTACATATATATATACATATATATATATATATCATATGTATATAACATATATATTACATATAGATATCCACACATACACACAATGGAATATTATTCGGCCATATGAAGAAAGAAATCCTGCCATTTGTGACAACTAAGATGAATCTGGAGAACTTTATGCTATGTGAAATAAGCCAGACAGAGAAAGGCAAACACTGTGTGGTATCGTTTATGTGTGGAGCCTCAAAAAAAAGATTCATAGCAAAATGGGTGTCTTGCCAATGAGTTTCAGCCCCAGGGAAGTTTGCTATGGACTCAGTGTGACCAAAGAAAATTGACAGCAGAATGCTCTTTGGGGTGAAAGGGTTATACCCAACTTGATTTCCAGGTGGCAGGTCAGTCACTAGAATCCTGTTCACTCAGAGCAAGTCTGCATGCAGCAAGCCGGTCTCTACCTCTGGGCCCCTCTGTCCGCACAGCCGTCCTCTGTGCCTCTGTCCTCAGTGCTACCACAGCTCCAGCCTCTGCTCTGCTCTCCCAGAGCCTTGCAGCCCTGCCACCGTGTCATGCCCAGAGCACTGGGCAGAGCTCTTTTTATAGAGTCAACAGCCATGTAGTGCCCACAGGTGTGCAGTGAGCTAGTCAAACACAGCCAGGTGAGAATCCTGGCCACGAGAACTCTCATTTTATCCACAATGGGGTTATCATGGGCCATAAATCCCTGGGTTTGGAAGCTGAGACCCTGCTTTCCGCAGGGCACATTGCATACATGATCTCATGAATCAGAGTCGTTCCAACTGGTAAACCATTAACCAACATTATTCAAGGTCATTCAGAAAGATGGTACAACAGCAAATCCACAAGAGGGAGTTAGAAACCCAGAAACAGCCCCATTTCAGGGCTCCAGTATCTGAGATAACACGTACACTGCTCAGAATCACAGAGGCTCCTGGAAGCAAGCGTCAGTGAGACAGACGTGTTTCCCACTGTGAGCACCAGGGAGGAGGTAGTGGGCAGAGGTTAAGTCCCATCGGCTCTCAGATACAGCGGCGAGGGCTTGGGGAGTAACCTTGTGGAAGGATGTTACATTGCAGGGAGACCAGAAGAAAACAAAACAAATATTCTTTAAAGTTGGAGGAGTAGGAGGTGAGCTCCAGGTCAGCAGTAAATTTCTTCTTTCAACCGAGGGCATGTTACCCAATCTACTCACAGGGTGAAATGGCATCACACACATTAAAACGGAGTAATTTCATTATCTTTCCTTTCTAAATGCCTTACAATAAACCTGTTGCACAGATTTTTCAGATCAATGAAATATCCCTAGAGTTCAATTGATCACATGTTTTCTATGGAACTTAGTTACTAGGATCACTGGGTGATATCAATAGAAGCATACTGACCAGACCCTGGGAGGTCATGATGCCACTATAATCATTATTCAATATATACGTTGAATATTCATTACTTTTTAACTCTTAGAACAACAGAGAGGCAGACAACTAGGGAGGCCCTGTGGCCCAGTGTTTCGGGGAACTGGCCCCAGACTGGCTTTGCGACTTTGGGAAATCATTTTACCAACAGCGCGGAGTTAAGGATTCCATGGGCCAGTGTCTGGGAAGCACTGAGCACAGAGCTGGTCTCGGTCAACACTGAACAGTAACGATCACGGGATCACTGCTTGACAAGGGGAACCCAAGAGTCCTCCAGTTACATGACTTACCCAAGAGCCCTGCAACTGCGAGGGCTGAGCTCGGGTTCAAATCCAGATCAGGTCTGGTTCTTAACTCCTAGTCGCTTCCTCTCACCTGCTTCTCAGCTGCCGTTTCCTCACTGTCTCGCCGTGACGACATCCCACACCACACCTTTCCTTTGCTCAGGATAGTGGCAAAATACCCCATGGTGTCACAGGCCTCTTCCTTGATAAGCTGAACGTTTTCTCCGTTACTTCTATCTTCTGTGGTCCCCTGTCAGTCTGCTCTGCTAGGTAGTTCCCTCTGCTAGCACAGTCCCTGACAAACAAAGCACCTGTCCCCTCCTACCTCCCCGTCACCTCCAGACCCATCTTGCCCCTTCATGGCACACGCACACTTGCAAAGTCCTCTGCTGTTCACCCCATGCCAGCCCCTCTTTGGCCCCTCGCTGTCGTCCTGTTATACTGAGACAAGGGTCCCAGTGGCGATCCCGATATAACACAGAAAGCTCTCGCCTTGCCCTGACTTTGCTGCAAGACCCTGAAGATTCTTCTCCCCTATGACAGCCCAGTTCCTAAAACTGCAGCTCATAAAATACGGTTTCTTATTCTCCGCAGTCCACACTGAGCCCATTCCAACTCACCTACAGCTGAACTCTGAATCTCGCTTGTCTGAGAGGATCAGCACAAAACACAGGGGGCCGCTCACCCCCCCAGTTCTGGAGGGGATGCAGGCGGTCGGATGAAAAGAGGCCCCAGAAGAATGGCTATATAGAAACAGATTGATGAAGAAAAATTAGATTCATGCACCAGAAGGAATCCAGCGTGAAGCAGCGGCTCCGTAAGCTGTTGAACCAGTGCGCGGTTTAGTAGGCGGATGTTCTACACCCACACGCAGAAGACGGTGCCCCAGCCCGGGGACCACGGTGGCTTTGCCGATGTCGTTTCGCCACCGTGTGGCCGTGTAGACCATTGCAGATAACAATTTACAGCAGCTAGGCATGTGCACAAATGTCCAGATGAGAATAATTCTTGCTGTTCGCCTCACTAGCTGATGGAATTAAGTCGGAAGCCAGTATGACCTACTATGCTCACCTGCTTCCCTCCTGCTTCTCTGGCTGTACCTGTTTACATCCCTTAGATCTGGCATTTCCCTGGGGTCCATTTATGGCCTCTGCTTTTCTCTGGGGAAGTTTTTGCTGCCCCATTATACTTGCAGGCTGGCTGAGTGCCCACCTCAGTCATAGCCCCACACTCAGACTCTCGTCTGAAGCATTTAAAGCTATAAGCTCTTCTCTAAACCCAGCACTAGCTGCAGCCCACAAACTTACAGATGCTTTATTTTTGTTGTCTTGCAGATAAAAAATGTTTTCTAATTTCCCCTTGACTTTGTTTTCAGCCCACGAATTATTTAGAAGTGTGTTGTTGACGGAGGGGGGACTCCTAGATACTTTATTGTTATTGATTTCTAGTTGAATTCCACTGTGTTCAGAGAACACACGTTGCAATATTTTGATCCTTTTAAATTTATTAAGACTAGTTTTATGTGCCAGCATGTTGTCTATCTTAGTGAATGTGTCACGTGCCCTGGAAAATATTACGTGTTCTGCAGTTGCTGGATGTAGTGTTCTATAATCATTTGGATAAATTGACATTTATCAACAGATAACTGAGCTGTTCAGATCATCTAGTCTTATTTTTTGTCAACTTGTATCAATTGAGAAAGGGACATAATCACTCTTAACTATAATTGAGATGTCTATTTTTCCCAAATCTGTTCATTTTTGCTCTATGTCTCTGAGATTCCATTACTGAGCATAGATACATATTTAATTGCTAATCTTCCAGATGAATTGTTACTTTTATGATTGTGATATAAAATGTCTCTGGTCATACTCTAATATTACAGTAACCATTCAAGCCTTCTTATGCTTATTTTTTGCTCATGATATGTATTTTTTGTTCCATTTCTTTCAACTTATCTTTGTCTTTATATTTAAAGTGTGTCTGCTGTAGCCACCATATAGTTTGGTCTTGTTTTTTTATCCACTCAGACAATCTCTGGCTTTTAGTGTGTTTAGACCATTAACATGTAATATGAGTATTCACATGCTGGATTCAGGTTTTCCTTTTCATTATTTATTTTCTGTTTGTCCCCTCTGTTTTTGTTCCTATGATCATCCTTTCCCCCTTTCTTTGGACAACCTGAATTTTTTAATGTTGCATTTCAATTTGTCTATGATCTTTTCAGCATATTCCTTTGTGTTTTTAGTGGTTAATCTATGGATTAAAATATACATACCTAACTTTTCACATCTGACTTAGAGTTAATATTACCCCACTTCAAGTAAAATATAGACTTGCTGAGTTATCGGACCCTCTACCACCATCATCCCATGGACAATTACCTTTTGTGTCAGAGTATGATGTCCACACAGGCTGAAAAGCCCACCAGACAATACCATACATTTTTCTTTCATTAATTATAAGTATTTTAAGGAACTTCAGAGGAAGACAATAGGCACATATATCATCCAAGCTATTTATCATTGCTTTTCCTTTATTAGTGGAGATTCAAGTTTCCCTTAAATGTTGTTTTCTTCAGCATGAAAGTCTGCTAGTGATTTTTTTAAAATTTTCCTTCATCTGGATATTTTTGTTTTGCCTTCATTCTTGAGGATATTTTTGCTCCATATGGCATTCTGGACTGACAGTTTTTTGTCAGCATTTTAAATATTTTGTCCACTCTTTTGTGGCCTTTGTGGTTCCTATTGTGACATCTGTGACAATTCATATTATTGGTCCCTGATATGTAGTATGCCATTTTTCTCTAGTCGTTTTAAAATTTTCTCCCTAAAAAAAATTAGAATGTTTGATGCCTTGACTAGAGTGGTTACATGAATGTATACACATGTGTAAATTCACTGAGCTGTATATTAAGATTTGTGCATTTTATTGTATGCATCTCAATAAAAATACATTTAAAATTTTTTCTTCATCTTTGGCTTTCAACAATGTGATTATAAAGTATCCAGGCATCATTTTCTTTGAATTTATCATCTTTAAGTTTCACTGAGCTCTTCGAGTCTGTAAATATATAACTTTCACCAAATTTGGAAAGTGCTCAGCCATTATTTCTTCAAATAATTTTTCTCTACCAACCTCTTTTTCTGATGCTCTGGGACTCCAGCAACACATATGTTAAATGTTTTGACATTTCCATTAGCCATCTCCATTTCTCTGAGATTCTGGCTTTTTTTTTCAATAATTTTCCCCTGTTCTTCAGATTGGATTATTTTTATTGGTCTAAATTTAGGTCCACTGACACTTTACTCTGTCCTCTTTATTCTGCTCTTAATCACATTCAGTGATTTTTTTAACTTCAATAGGTTTATTTTTCAGATCTAAAATTTCCTTTTGATTTTTTAAAAATAATTTATTTTTCTTTGCTGTGGACTTCTATTGTTCTGTTTATATCAAATGTGTTTGCCATGCTTCATGAAGCACAGTGATAATAGCTGCTTTAAAACCCTTGTCTCATAATCCCTTCATCTGAATATCTTGGGGTTGAAATCTATATATTGTTTTACTTAAGAATCAATCCTGATTCTTTTATATTAAGTAATTTTGCATTATATCATGGACATGTGGATATTGTATTGTTTTTACTCTGAGTTCCATTATAACCTTCTGGAGAATATTGATGTTTTGTCTTATCAGATCAAATAAAGACAAGCTCTAAGAATGTGTCTTTTCCAAGGGCCCAGAGATCAGACAGTGTCAATTCTCTTGTTTGCTTCCAGATTTGGAAATTATGAATAAAATTCCTGTAAGCATTTGTGTGATTTACCTCTTGAGAAGAAATCTTCACTAACAGCATATGCTCACTACTGTCTGTTTTCCTGCTGAATAAAACTGATCTCTGGACAAAACATAAAAGATAACTACTTTGAATTTTGAAATGTAAACAAAAGCAGGTAGATTGTGAAGGGGAGTAAAAAGAGTTGGAGAAAATACATGAAGTGGACTAAGCTTCCTGTTTATTTTTAACAAGGATACCAAGACAATACAATGGGGAAAAAATACTCTTTTAAACAAATCATGTTGGGACAACTAGCTATCCACATATAAAAGAATGAAATTGAACCCCTTTCTCACACCATACACAAAGATTAATTCAAAATGTACCTAAGATCAAAATGCAATACTGAAAAGTATAAATCTCTTAGGAGAAAACATAGGTGTCAATCTTCATGACCTTGGTTGGGCAATGGTTTCTTAGATATGATGTCACAAACGCAAGCAACAAAAGAAACAAATGGATAAACTGGACTTCATAAAAACTTAAAACATTTATGAATCAAACAACATCAAGAAAGTGAAAAGACAACCTACAGAATGGGGGAAACATTTGCAAATTGTGTATCTGACAAGGGACTTATATCAAAATATATAAGGAACTCTGACAGCAGTGAAAAGACAAATAATTCAATTTTTCTTACTAGGCAAAGGATTTGAATAGACATTTATCCAAAGAAGATGTAGAACTGACCAATAGCACACTGTCTTACTCTGGGCTGCTGTAAGAAACTACCAAGAACTGGGTGGTTTGAACACAAACATCTGTTTCTCACAGTTCTGGAGGCTGCAAGTCCGAGATCAGGGCACTGGCAGGCTGAGCATCTGGCGAGGGCCCCTTTCCTGTTTCACAGATGACTGTCTTCTTGCCGCATCCTCACGTGGCAGGAGGGGCAAGAGAGCTCTCTGGACCCTGTGGGAAGGTGGATCCCATTCATGAGGGTTCCACCCTTATGACCTTATGACCTAGTCATAAGGATTTGGCTATATGTATTAATACAGAATGATCTGTAAGAAATATGGTTGGACTGACAAAATTTGAAAAAAGTCTGTGGTTTAGTTAATGGTATCGTATCAATGTTCATTTCCTGATTTTGATATGGTTATATAAGTTTTCAGTATCAGAGTAAGCTGGGTGAAGATGCGACTCTCTATACTATTTGTGCAACATTTCTGTAAGTCTAATATTATTGCAAAATAAAATGTTAAAAAATACCATACATAGTTTTGGAATAAATACGTATGCTGTCAAATACAACTATTTATGTGGAAAAGATCACCAAATTCAAGATACTGGTTTCTCACAGTCAGGAGTATGGAGAATACAATCAGGGAGATGTACAGAGAGGTGACTTCAACTCAAAATAGGGCAACTAAACTTGCAATATTTTGCTTTATAAGCTACATGATAGATGTTAAGGAGTCTATTCCATTATTCTTTGAAATGTTTGTGTATATGTTTTCATAACAAATAATTAAAAGGAAAGTGCACAGGGAAAAAGAGAAGATAAAAATTGTTGCAATCCATTTCATGAGTTTATAAATGTCCCTGACCCCCTTCTCCCCCATGCAATCCAGTCTTAATGCTCTTGGTTTGAAGAATGTTGTAGTGTTAGTAAATCCATTTGCTTCTCAGAGGTGCTTTTTACTCCACTGCCAGATGTGTCCAAAGAAGGAATGTTTCTCCTAGGACACCCTTCCGTCCCTGGGAAGGAAGGAAGGGGAGCAGGACAGAACAGAGAAAGAGGGAAAGCCATCCCCAGCACCTGGTCCATGACCAGAGCTTCCCGATGTTTGCAGGGAGCTGCCATCTGCCCGTTCGGGAAGGTGCAGTGAGATTTTCTGCCTGGGCTCCGCACTCTAGTGTGAACTATTTTGTCAGCATCGATGACTCACAGCCTCCACTGAAACAGCCAGTCCCTAGCAACCACCATCATTTCCCCAGACATTTCCAATCTCTCTGGGTCCCCGTGGAGACCGTT